GGCAAATCTCTAGCCTCGATTCATCTGTCCGTCCGACGGGTTTACACCCTTCTTGATTTCTTATGAAATGCGCAAGAGAAAACCAAAAACGAAACGGAACAGGTTATAAGTAATTTCAATGATTCAGATTCAGTACTAGTATGCTTATTAAGCAGTCACATGCAGTTTCAAGTTTGACGATCATCCAAGTCCACTTTATTTCCTTGTCATATTGTACATGTCTCGTTATGAACATCATTTCTTCTTACCGAACGAAATGCAAGCCCACAAGACATTAAGTATAGCAATCGATTTTTGACTTGACTTTCCAAACCCTTGCGTTGTTGTGATTATGATGACAACCCCAATGCATGATTTACTATTTTAAGTAATAGATTGATGGATAAAAGAGGGATTAAGGCGATCAAAACAACTATGGTAAAACCAAACGTGATCATGAACATGAGGAACATGTGCAAGAGATTTCAACGCATTTAATATTCAAGTTAGTTAATAAGCATGTCCTTTCTATACACGTCTGATTGACTGAAACAATGACCATTTGAATTAAGCCATAATAAAAGCATTCACTTAATTATCTCATACGGTCTTACAAACTCATTGATCATTTACCAAATATATTCTATCCGCACCGAAATAGATAATTTCTTCTTTATGGCTTCTTTCCGTCCAACTGATCTTTCGCGTCAATTCATAATCGTATAAACGCTGTTGCTCACATGTATGCAGATTCTTGCATTATGGTTGAAGCGCATTCGATTCGATTAATGGGAAATTCTTATTGTGATTCTGCAGTGTACCAGTCATAATGCCATGTGGGCATACAATAATACACAAAATTACTGTTACTAGCATTACAACCATATTTACCAGGATGTTGTGTTACATACAAATGTGATACAATGATTAGCATAAGCCATTCTCCTCGGTACTTTACTTTGTTTGGATTAGTGTCTAATAACAAAAACTCTAATACATTGCACCAGCAGGGGATATTTTTGTGTTCACATCGCCATGCCTATCACTTGCACAAAAAAGCAGATAGTACATCGGTATGGACTACGCTGCTGCCAAGTGCCCCGAACGCATTCAAACTTGGAACTCGACTAAAAATAGATTATTGTAAAAAATGTATGGTGTTAATCATTACTAGATTGGCTTCTTTATAAGAATTCGGGAAAAAAACTTTTCGCTTATTAAAGTCAGACACCCCTTATAATCTGGGAGTACTTTTTGAAACACTTGTCATCTGTCCAATCGAAATTAGCATAACAACCGGACAATACCCAACATTATTCATCTCGACTGAAATTTTCTCATTCGTTCATTCAATTGATCACAATAATTTACCGGGTGCGCATCAACAAATAATCCATCAATCAACACATCTTTAGCCACTTTACCAGGAAAACCCGAGCCGCTGATTGAAAAAACCATTTGAATCTGAGCAGCGAATATATGCGTCTGGAGTAAGTTAATGGCTCGTGATTCCAGCCTGAACACTCTGAGATAAAATTCTCTCCCACAAAAGTCATTTCAGTCCTGAAACTTTAAACCAATCGATTATCATTTCATCTTACGTAGAACAAACAAACGCGCCTTCAGTGACAAACATGGTTGGTTTATTATTATCTGATATACTTCACGTGACAGATAAACAGATTTTATTGGATATACACATTTCTATTCATAACCGGCCTTTTCCGAAATATCTAACACGTGACCATTACACTTGCCTTTCATCAGATGGGAAAGGGGGGAAGGTAAAAGGAGAAGTAAAAAACGCTATGCATTGCATATCTGCAATTTATAAATTTATCCGCTTGTCCTTCTTCCGATCAGGAAAAGACAAACTAAAACTGGGAACACGAAAGGTAAACCATTGTTTGTTTTGATTTCATGCAGAAACATTGAAGGAGACGAAGGGACAAGAGAGCATGAGAATGCCATGAGGACAGCGTAAAAAGATGGGGTGATAAGCCACTCTACGATAATAATCTTGTTTCCGTATTAATCAAAAGCAAGCCTCATACAAACAAAACCTCATTCTTCTCGATATTTTTTTTATTATTCTTTTTTTTTTTTTTTTTGGTCAAAAAATTTTTTATTTCTCATCAAAGCCCATCGATTATCAAGCAATCCGCTCATTGTCACATCTTAGGGCATTGCGCATACTTTATAATACCATTCTTATCTTCACATTCACCCCTGAATTCTTTGTCATTTCATTCTTTCCGTCCATTGTCTTATTTGCTGCAAGCAAGAGCACTTGATTACAGCCTCAACTCAACCGATAAACATTAATATTACAGGTATTTATCTTTGTTTGGTTATTTATTGTGCTGAAAGAAGAAAAGGTTTCATAGAATGAGGCTTTCATCTCTCACCTTCACGTGCAGAGATGGATTGATTGCGGATTGTCGATGATTGGAGTGCGTCATCAGACATGTCAAACAAGGAAAATCTTTGGGCGTTAGAATATACACCGGTTATCGCATTCTATTTATAGATATATACATGGTTTTAATTCGAAACACTCTCCTTGGAAACTAAATAAGTGGGATGAACGATGGTAGCCTTATTTGGACGTTACAATGAATAATTGGGATGCTTTGAGTATGCATACCTAGTAACAAATGCGTGTGTGTGTTATGTGCCTCGCATATATGCGTTGCTTAAGCGAGAAGGAATCGATTCCCAAAATCGACATGTGTGAGACTCCGGCAAGCAACAAACACAGTGATATATAACGGACAATAGGGACTATCCCACTGTTGCGAGTTACTTAATCTGTGCTCATATAAAAAGCTTGAATAATCGCCATTATTTGCTTTCCCTTATCATTCAGCCACTTTTCGAGTGTCGTCATATCATTAAAAAAAGTAAACACTGATCATCAGCCAGCCGAACCAACTCCATTCATTCAAAGCCCATTGTCAGCCCCAACCTTGCTTCCATCCCGGTTATTTACGCCACCCGAGTATTTGGCGTCTCGTCACACAATGTATAATGCCCGTTCTCCCACTCGAAAAGTAGAAGGTGAAGCAACACACGGATATTCGAGCCGCGACATATTGATATATTGGCTAAGCAAACAAGCAAAGTTGTCCCAGGAGTTACGTAAGAAAAGAATGACGCTGCACAAAACGTTGATTACGTAAATGATTACTTACTGCTGAATAACATTTGAACAAAAGCAAGTGTTTCACCAAGTTTGTTAATTCAACTAAAAACTCCCCAATGCCAGGAACAAGCTCGGAATTATTTCTCCTTGGTTTATTAACATTTGTGCTCCTAAACAAACGAAATGCGGACAAGTGTTGACGAATTTACAAAGGAGCATTCTTCCAGAGATGATAATCTACGCCTTATTTGCAACATTCCTTCTTTCTTTGCCCCGAATCAGTTGATTGACAGAACAGGGAGTCATTGCCGTGTGTGTGTGAATGTGTGTGTGAATATTATGAGACATTAGAGATCATGAACAGGAAAGGATAAGACGGCATCTGCGTAGTCGTTGAGGAAAGGTCACTGAGTAATTACGGTAATTGACTATATGGCGTCTTCGGTAAGGATGGACCAGTGAATGAGCCTTTTAATGGAAAAATGTAGATTAACATAATAAAAATCGGCAAATAAGATAGCCATGGCAAATAGAGACTAAACTCACAAGAACGTAATCGGCTTCCCCGGGTCGTGATTACTGTTTTTTTACAAAACGCATACTCATATATGCCTTTTGGGGGGGGGGGCGAAGGGGCGTTTGTAGGAGGATCGAATGATCTTTTAATAACAAAATGCAAATGAGAACCGAATATTATTATGAACGATTTATTAGGTATTATTTCGGACAGCGCGGTGTTAAACCTGTTTTACATACCAAAGTCTATTTCAAATGAGAATTGTCGTGATAGCTTTTGTACGAAAAAGATCTGTTCTCGCCTTACACACATGTCATAATTCTCACGTGACATACGAGGAACCTTTATTCCTTCGTCCCCTCTCTTTCGCATTATGATAAATTATATCTTGCTACCCAATAAGACTGTGTGGTTTACGGCTCAGAACGGCTTTCCAACGAGAATTATGCAACTCGTTATAGAAAGGCTACAAGTACAAAAGTAGAATGAAAAAGGCAACGAGCATTGCTGAGAGTAGTTCTGACTTGATTTTAAAGGTGATCAAGAAACATCAAAAAAACAGTAAGTGATTGGCAAAGGCTAGTAAGTAGCTGACAAAAACAAAAGCATGGCCGAGAAGCGAGTTGGTTATAAGTTATGGCTGAACGAAAAGTCTTCAATCTATAAATGAAATCTGTTGGAAAGAACTCTTTGACGCGTGAAAGCAATGCAGAGTCTGTTTAACTGTAAGAAAGAAAATAAAAAGGGATCAATAAAAACATATTGATATCGATCACCTTTGAACACATACCCACATTACACATACATACACACTACACATTAACATAGGCATACGCATGTACACACCAGTCTGAAAACATTCCTTTTTTTTTTAAACAGTTTTTAAAATACGAATGCGTTTGGACAAATCGATCGATATTTCGATAATTTTGACGGACTTGTATTATATCATTACTCGTTTGGAGGTAAACATTTATTTCTCTTTTCGCTCGTTTAGTAAATATGTCCGACATGTACGAATTTCTTTTTTCTTGCAAAGCGTATCCCAACCATTCACCAGCAAACATTCGCTATATCCACAGAAACAAAAGTCTGAAAACAAGTATGCATACAATTGTTTCCCCTCTACCCTTTTCCCTCTCAGTTCAGATTGCGTGTTCTGTTTACACAATCTTTTCGTGTGTTTTTTCCCCCGCATTTCCTTCAAATTACAGCCTCTAACCATTTTTGATTTACTTCTTCGCTTGCTATTTTTCTAGTGCATCTGATGGAGTCTCGTTAAAAATCTGCCAATGGCTGTTAACAGTCTGCTGGAGTTGTTTAGCTCGGAGTTGGGAATGTCTTGCGGAAGGATACCGAATGTCCTTTCGTGGTGACTCGAGTTGGATCATTGCTGGTTTTGGAGGTGAAAAACAATTGCTTGGTTTTGCAAATGGATGGTCTAAGGGTAAAGCGTATTATGAAGGTATGGTTCGTTGATGATGAATCTGGTGGGCAAGTGTCAATGTTGGTTCTCTTTTAATGATATAATGTGCCTGTCAAAACACAGCCCATCAAACATTCAGGTGCGCTCTTGAAGAAATAGTATCAACCATTAAATGGATTGTGAAGGATCCAAAAACTAACGGTGAGGAATTTGTTTTGTGTTGTTTTTTTGGGGTTTTTTGAGGGGCGGGAGGGGACAGGAGATAATCAATAACAATGATTATAACAATGATAGTCAATAATAATCAAAGTAATTTAATTTACTTTTTTGTAAAAATTTTTAAAGCTCACATCTCAGAAAAGTATAAGAAAAGGCTGTCGTTGCTCGATGAAGAAATAACAATTTTAAACAAAGAGGCCGATGTTCTGTTGCGTGGAATGGAACCATTAATATCATCATCATAATAATAATACCCAATTGATTGACACGTATTCTCAATTCTTATTATTTAGTATTTTATTTGTTGTATATATATACACGTGATAATATTTAAATTTCAGCAATTTGTTATTCGTCGATTCCTAATCGAAGGATCAATGTATTTAGTACACAGTTTTTTAGCACCAACAACATTCTATTATAATGAATTATGAACCCGGTCAGAGCCACATCTTAAATCATGTGATTGCGGAAGTGATAGTCAATTGCAAGATTAATTAGCCAATAATCTACCTGAATACTAAATATTTCAAGTAAAACACATTTTTTTAATTGGGATGCTTGCAAAAGTACGAGAGATGTCACACGTCCAGTAGCAATCGACGTGGATCTTCTATTTGTTCTTTCACCGTTTTCAGGAATGTAACAGCCTCACGGCCATCAATAAGACGATGATCATAAGTTAATGCAATATACATCATTGGGCGAATCTCAACCTATAAAAAAATATTATAGTAAAAATAGCAAAGGGCAATGCAATAAGAAATGGGAGAACTCGCCAGGATAGTAAAAAAAAAAGCATAATTCCATAATACTAGTAGATAACCCCTACCTTCCCATTAATGGCTACAGGTCGTTCCTTTGTAATGTGCATTCCTAAGATTGCACTCTGTGGCATATTGATGATTGGGGTACCCATCAATGATCCAAATACTCCTCCATTGGAGATGGTAAAGGTTCCTCCTGCCATGTCTTCAATTGTAATCTTGCCATCACGAGCCTAACGAAAAAGAAGTTACTGATTAACAACCACCACCAAAACATTTGCCAACTATTATTGACATGACCGTAGTGATAATATACAGTGTAATCTTTAATTGTCAGGTCAATTATAAGCCATCTTGCTTCCAACTCTATGCCCTTTCCAAGCCTCACCTTTTGTCCTAGCTCGGCTATAGCCTTCTCAATCTCGATAAAGGACATCAAATGTGCATTTCTCACAACAGGAGTAACCAGTCCTTTTGGTGTCGCTACTGCAACACTCATATCAACATAATCTCTGTACACAATAGTGTCACCTCCGTCCGGCCCTTCAATTGATGCGTTAACCACAGCAACCTCTTGCAATGCATACACGGCTGCTTTCACGAATGCAGACATGAAACCAAGTTTGATACCGTGTTTTTTCAAAATTATTTCTTTATAGGAATTACGTAGATCAATAATATTGCTGAAGTAAATTCATGAGAATTAACAATATTGTTTGGAGAGGGAAGGGGGGGAAGTGTGAGAAAAAAAAACTGATTAGCCTTTGAAACGAAATCACGTCGATTTCATTCAGGGTAACTATATACATCACACATTCAAAATCAATCGTCTTTTCTCCAGACGTTTACCTCATGTCAATTTCATTAAACGTCGTCAAGGAAGCAGCAGAGTTCTGTGATTCTTTGAGCCTTTCAGCAATTCTCAGACGCATCCTATTCATTTTAACCTACATTATCCCAAATTATATTTTTAATATGATAAAGAAAATAAAGGGCCACGTAAATTGAAACATACACGACGTTCATCTCTTGGTCCATATGGTGATCCAGTGGCAGCAAGAAGCGGTAACACAGATCGAGTAGGTGAAACAGGTTGAGATTGAGATTGAGGAGGAGGCGAAGAGGATTGACGAGGCGGTGGAGGCGGAGATTGGGGAGGTTGATGGGAAGATGGTGAAATTGGCTTTGGAGAAGGCGTGGGTTTTGGTTCTATGCAAAAAGAAAAAAGTTTGTGAGTGCAAATTATTAAATGCGAATAAAAATCCGCACATACTTGTCATTTACCTGGTGGTGCCGATTCCGCCTCCTTTTTGCTTACGTCTGGTTTTTCAGGTTTTTTTTCCTGCGCAGGAGGGGCTTCTGCGGATGCGCTTTCTTTCTTGGGAGGGGCGGCGCCTTAATAATGATGTATAAAATGAATACTTTCACGAACGGATATGTCATTTTGTAAACTAGATTTATTGCATGCTTAAACTTACCCTCTGCTGGAGCATCTCCGAGTTCAACTTTGAACAAATCGGCTCCGACAGTCACATTAGTGTCAACTTCGGCATACAGTTCTATTATAGTACCCGACACGGGCGAGTTGACGGTGACATCGATCTGCACGAATTCGTTATATATATAAAAGTCAATGTCGGTCGAGTTTCTCAATTAGCTCACTGCCATTCCTCAAGCTGCATATAATTTCAATAATTCTTACCTTATCCGTTTCAATGGTCGCGACTTCTTCATCAGTCTGAACAAAATCGCCGACCTCTGATAAGTTACAAACGAATTAAAATCGAGTCCAACTTTCAAATATTCAATACGATTTCTATGTTCCAAAACACATTACGTTTATTCCACGCCTTGAGGGTCCCTTCCGAAATCGATTCGGCCATCGGCGGGACCGGGATAACTTTTTCAGCTAGATAAATAGATCAAGAGGTGACGTGACGTGAAATTAAAATCAGAACGAAACTTGAAAAATAAAGCTAATCAAAAGTTTATTCGCGTCTCATTGCTTTTTGACATTACCGTAGTTTCTGGCTTGCATCAAGAGAAATGGGTTGAGAGGTGTGTGTCTGATTGAAGAAATCATAAGGTAAATAATCACTTATTCATTGATTTCATATCCTTTTGCTATAAACTTTTATGGAATTAATAGCATATCCATACAATCAACTAGCACAATTAGCAAATAAGGTTAACCAAGAGATCTTTTAAACGTTCATCCTGACACTGTGAACTTTGTTTCTAATACAACTCAAGTGTATGTAAAATCGAATCATCAAAATCCAAACGAATGCCAACCTGTTCAGCGTAACATTTGACAAGCCTCCAACATTCAAGCGGGCGAAAGCGCTCGATGCCTCATTTCTCGACAATGTCACTCCGAAACTACCTCCAAGAAAATGTTTCGAGCTATAATATCTTAAAGTGGTTGAAAATCCTGTAGAAGAGTTGCATCGGATAGACCTTGCAGCATTTAAAGTGGGAGTTTGTACAGCTCGTCGTATTCTAGTTAACGACATGCTGTTTCTATGGAAAAAAACAAAGATGATATAGGCAAAGGTTTATAAAAAAACCTTGAGGGGGGTATTTCGGAAAGAATTACTGATCAGTCAGTTGATATCCGATTCAAGGAAAGCTCATCTGCTGTGTAATGTTAATATGCCTGGGTCCTGTTACGACAGATGAGAATGGCAGTATATTTCGAATGCGGGGAGGGAGATGAACGTTCAGAGTATGAAAATTGTTACCAAGCAATTATCAAGAAAATCGTTACGTGTAGACAAGGCAATTTACTATGCCTTGCGCTAAGCTTGCAAATTTTTAATGGGTGGCTGACATACTGGTATTTGTGCTATTCCAGTCAAAGACAATCGCCATTGTTGTTTACCAATAATGGATGTTGTGCATAATAATAACCGATAATCAAATTATCATTTATATTTAGATTGTGGACATTAAACAAGAAATAAATTCCTTCTGTGTCAGTCAAATTATACCATGTCTGGTTGTTTCGAGGGTAATACGTTCCAGACGCATCTAGATCCATTGTAATGACGATATTGTCGAAGGAGATGACAACTTATTGAGCGTGTTATTCTTTATAGACATAATGCATGTATTTAGGTGAGTCCTGCCTTATAGTTTATAAGACAATCGTAATTATATTAGATAAGCCGAATACTCGAATATTTAGAACAAGCACAATAATATATTTAGCAAGAAGCGAATCTCAGAAAACAGCTAACAGCTTAAATTCAGGTGAATACTATATTAATAATAATAATAAGATGTACAGGAAATGAGCGAGTAACACAAATTTAATGGTAATAGACATATGAAGTCTCTCTTTTCAAAAATCTTTTCCTGCCCATGTATACTATGTAAATATAATATTTTTGCATAGTTCCAAAGCCAATTAATAAAGAATTTCTAAAAAAAAAACTAACTATAATTTTATAGATTATTGTATAAAGCTGTAGCTCGTCGAGGTGCGAGTATACGTGATATACAAATAGTGTGTTACAAGACTCAAAGAAATTATGTTGCATTGCACACCAGCAATCCAAAAATTATAAAAAATAGCTCGTTTGATAGTTGAGACTCTACAGCTTTGTTAATAATAAAGTAGCAATTAATTCTTGCTCTGTTTTCTCGGTTACACTCTGACAACATCTAGACAGTGAGTTTATCAAATTAATTACAAATACTGTCTTTAACTATTGGATGCCTATTCACTATTCCAACATTCTTGTGCAGGTAGACTTTGGCAATCCGGCTAGTACTAGTATGCTTAGGATTATTATTTTAATATTATTATAGATAATGCTAGTGGAATACCATTGTGATAGAGTCAGACATTGCGCTTTTTCTTTTAAAAAAAGCATCGGACATGCACTTATCTCAAAAGTTGTTGTAATTTTGGTATTTATAAATACCTTAAATTGTAGCTCAAAATAACAGGCTTTGTTTGTATTTCAGATGCTGTAAATTGCATGCGTACATATATGCAAAACAATTGGGCTTAATATTAAACATCTTAATAACCTGTTGTAATTCTCGAATTCTTATAAAAATGAAGCAATTCTGCCAAACCATATTTGACTTTCTGAGCCATCTTAAACATTGCTTCTGTCATTATAATCCACAAATAGTAAATATTGGACGTTATCGAACGGCTAGTCATCTGATATTAAGCGAATTAGTGATCAATCTTTACGTTAACCAAATGCCGATCACATACCTCGGACTTGAAGAAGTTTGGTAATACGTACAAATGGGAAACAACGCGAAAATCATGGCATGTGTTACCCCAAAAGTATTTGCGCCGCAAATTTGGTTAGTTGATTTGATATTAATATTAAGAAAATATAGACAATCTGTGGCATGCCTTAGTTGCATGACTATATTTTTTTCACGGTGTAAACGAGAACGTTTTCATCAAGTGAATTTATGACAACATTCATATACGATACTCTATATATATACCAATTCTTACGCGACGAAAGAATGAGGTATAGTGTTACAAGGATGTAGGTGCATTATTATATTCATATGAGGCAAAACCAAACTCTCCAGGAACATCTAGATTAAGCAAAAATCAATATGAAATTTATCCAGCAGAATGAAAATAAACAAACCTCAACCCCAACTAATTACGAACCAAGAAAGAAACAAAAATATAAAGCAAAAAATCTTAATATTAATTGTCAAATCTATTACTATTCCTATTATTCTCTTACCCATACTTATACTTGTCATTTTTTGTTATTTCAAAAACAATATATTCTAATGGCTTTACAGAAACCTTGAATTTTTGACAATCTCGTCACGAGTTAGCCTAGATATTGACACGAGTTCGCAGAGATCTCGGATCGCTGCGACATCTGTACGCGCTCGCGTCCAAGTGCTCGATGAGTGATCGACATGGATCATGGCAATCAATTTACGACTTTATTACAATCTCGTATTGGTACCAAATCGTCGCAATTTATTAACGACTTCATTACAATCTCGTATTGGTACCAAATCATCAATGGCTTTAAGTGCTCTCCTCACTCTCCCACATTTTTTCTCCTTTCTCACACGCTGATCGTCATCCCAATTAGTATATACTCTTCGAGCTCCGTGCACAGATGAGCTTTTAACTGACGCACGCTTGTGTACATACCTTGGGAGGGCAGTTCGTTAATACACTTCGGGTTTTTGTGGCCTTATCTACAAAATCGAGTGTCGAAATATCGTTTGACATCTTGTGATGTTGGTTTATTACATAGACGTTGGTTGACTGAGTTCTCTAACCCACATTTTATTGGTTCAATATCAATACGCAAGTCACGGAAGGAAAAGAAGAAAAGCCTCAAATTGCACAAGTAGACGACGAGAGGAAGGAGGGAGTTAAGTGAAACCGAATCAGTGGAAGCTTATCCACCGACTAAAATTACTCAGCTCCGATAGAAGTAACAAAGTTTGTTGTGAAGAGTAAGTCCGACGTATTGTCCTGCATTCGGTCTTAGCTTCCGCCAAACATCGGCGGCAATGGAATAGCCTCAACAACTGTGTCCCCAGTCACTTCCTCCTCAATCCCCCCTTCAACCAGCAACACCGTCTATTCCACTTCAATCAACAGCTCTATCTCGAACACTATCTGCTACACCGCCACGCCCGACAATGCCACCTATTACATTTCAGGTGCAACTACCATTTACTGCTGTTAAAATACTCTGCAAAAGCATGAGTCATTGTGGGTCTTCTCAAACACAGGGACAAAAAAACCTAAACCCCACCGAACAGTTAACTTTTTCTTTTGGGCGGCTGGACAAAATACTGACCAGCAGGAAAGTTAGAACGTGAGGCCGAACACCAAAAAAAGATGGAAATTTTTAACAAGATTCCAAACGGCGCGGCTATCTTCTGCTACTCTTCGAACTCAACCAGCATTTACTGCGCAGACGATACCACCACTTGCTA